CAGTCCCAGCTGGCCGAGCTGAATGCCTGCCACTCCTTACTGACGGTGGCCGGCACCTTACGCAGGGCTCCGCCTTCTCAACCAGGGTTTAGGGTTTCGGGTTTAGGGTTTAGGGTTCCTAAGAATCACCCAATAGTAGCATAGTCTTTTTGGATCCTCCCAGGGGTCTGGGTATGCCACCAGCATGAACTTTGCGACCTAGAAACCTTGAAACACCTGTAAGCCCAAAATTTCCTAAAATCCTAAACCCTGTGATTCTAAGACGTGAAGTTTCAGGTAACCCCTGAGCTCGAACCTCGCCAAAGGGGCCAACAACCTCAAAATCTCCGAACCCGAAACCTAAGACCCAGAGTAGGCCCTCATTCCCTTTTTTCTTTTTACGGGTTTGGGCTTCCTCACAAGCTCCTTAAAACCTAAAAGGATGCCCCCATTTTTGTTACTAGGTTCTTGGGTCTCGAAACCCTCCACTTGGAGGTTCATGGTACTTACTAACCAGTTATAACTGTACTTATAACCCTACTTATAATACCCCTAAAGGGCCTTATAGGGGTTATCCCACTTATAAGTAGGGTTATAAGTACAGTTAAAATTGGTTAGTAAGTTCCAGGAAGCTTCAAGCACACTTTGGCTGAGGTGCAAAGGGCTGAGATACTTGTCATGCTCTTGGAGGTCAACTCCATCTTCGCGTTCACCCTAAACCCTAAACCCTAAACCCTAAACCCTAAACCCTAAACCCTAAACCCTAAACCCTAAACCCCAAACCCTAAACCCTAAACCCTAAACCCTGAACCCTTAACCCTTAACCCTTAACCCTTAACCCTAAACCCTAAATCCGGTCCAGGAGCCGCTCATACAGTCTACAGCCCTCTTGGAGTGACTTTGCCGTGCCCGTGAAAAGTCTCAAGGTCTTCCTGGCAGAGAGGAAGTCCCTTCCTTGAGAAGGGCTTTAGGGTTTAGGGTTTAGGGTTTAGGGTGAGAAGGGCACATGCCCTGACGTCTCAGAGTTCCACGTCTCTCTCTCTCTCTCTCTCTATATCTCCCTCTTTTCAACTACGAGATCAAGGAGTTGTACTGCTACGACAAACCTTTAGAGACAGAAACCCAACCCTTCAGCTGTTGGGACTTAAGGGGTGTGAGCAGGACCTCTAGAAGGGACCCTGAATCCTATTCTCCTACAGGGGCGGGAGGGAGGCGGGGATTCCTTATATACTTCCTATGTACCAAAATCACGCCTAAATAACCCCGAAAGTCCCGTACCCTAAACCCTAAACCCTAAACCCTGAACCCTAAACCCTAAACCCTAAACCCTGAACCCTAAACCCTAAACCCTAAACCCTAAACCCTAAACCCCCCTACTTTAGTTTCTTATAGAAGCCCAAACGCGCTCCCAAGGACCAGGAGAGGCTGGCCACCATGTCGAGGGGCTCAGACAGCTGAGTCGGTGTCGGAGTTTAGGGTTTAGGGTTTAGGGTTTAGGGTTTAGGGTTTGGGGTTAGGGTTTGGGGTTTGGGGTTTGGGGTTTGGGGTTTGGGGTTTGGGGTTTGGGGTTTGGGGGGCGGAACTTTAGGAGCATCAGAAGGGTAGGAGGTTACATAAAGACATGTACTGTTAAACATGTGACAAAGGCTAGATCTAGCTTTGAAGACACCTTTTGGCGAGGAGGTCAGATTCAAAAGGGGCGGCATCTTGGGCTGGGCCATTGTCAACGGGAGTTTGAAGAGCAGTTCAGCCGAATTGCTTACTAGGTAGGACTCTGGGGAATCTACGAGTTTAAGGTTTAGGGTTTAGGGTTTAGAGTAGGAAACATCCTCATGTTCGACCCAATTCTTCTCAACATGCTTGGTCGGCCTTGGGGGTGTAGCGGCCAGATACCCCTAAACCCTAAACCCTAAACCCTAAACCCTAAACCCTACAAAGGCACCAGGGTGCCGGGTTCAGGGTTTAGGATTTTGGGGCTTAGGGTACCTGATTCAAACCGAGAACTGCAAACACCAGAGCCCTCCCTCCCTCACCCGAAAACCCTAACCCTGAGGCCTGAACCCTAAGCCGGGAACCCTGAACCTTGAAACCCAAACCCTGAACCCTGAACCCTAAGCCCGGAACCCTAAACCCTAAACCCCTAAACCCTGAGAAGTCATTCTTGCAAGGCTGGCACCCTACGTCAATGCGTCTGGCGAGCTGGTCATGGAGGCGGTTTGGGATTTCGGGCTCGGGACTTTAGATTCGGGTGGATCGAAGAGAGGGGTATAGGGTTTCGGGTTGACGGTTTAGGGCTAAAGTTCAGCTTTCTTGTTCTTTTGGTTTTGCAGAGATGGTGCTGGTGGGGTTTTTGTGGTGTTTTAGGATGTTCAGCTTTGAAGGCTCGGATGCTTCAATGTGTTGGCGTGTTCGGGGGCCTATGAGGGATGTTCCTGAAAAGGTGCGCGACGGCGGAAGGACCGAAAAAAGATGCGCCCTCAACACGTTGAAGGGAGCAATGGTCACATGAACATAAAGGACAAAATATGAATGTAAATCCCAGAGGATCCGTTTGTAGCATTATTATGACATCAGGTACCCAGAAACCACACTAAATAGGGTTTCGGGGTCCTTACTTCCATAAGAGTACTACAAATGGACCCTCTGGGAATAGAGAATTAATCATGCGCCAAGAATCTCTAAATCCTAAACCCTATAAACCCTAAACCCTAAACCCCTCAAGCTCCTAAAGTTGGGTTTGACAATCACAGGGTAGGAGCCCGGCGTTGGGAGCACGGAGAACGAAGTGCCGGGGCGTGAGAAGCGCCAATGCAGCTAAGGTTCGGTTTAGGGTTCAGGGTTCAGGGTTCAGGGTTCAGGGTTTAGGGTTTAGATTTGAGGCGTTAGGGTTTTGGGTTTTGGTGTTTAGGGTTACATGAGATGCGGCCAATGATATAGTGAGGATAGTGCAGCGAAAAGGAAGAGGGGGAACCCTTAAAGAAACTCCCACCTGAAGATTGCTTTCAGGGTTGTATGATGGCTTTTTTGCAGGGGCTGCCTTGTGGGGAATCTTCTGCTTCCCTTGTCAATGAGGGTTGAGGGAGTTAGGGTGTAGGGCCGAGCAGGTTCAAGACGCTGCTCGTGACTCATCCCGAACGAGCGTTTCTGGTTCGGTAGTTGAGGTCACGCTGGTTGTAGTCTATGCGGTTTAGGGTTTAGGGTTTAGGTTTTAGGGTTAGGGTTTTGGGTTAAAAAAACCCACACCTTGGTTTAAGGTGCTCGATGAACCCGCCAGGCCCCAGACCCAGATGTGATGCTCTTCAAGCAGGGTTTGGACCTCCGGCTGAAGGACCGCCCGTTTAGGGTTTAGGGCTTGGGGTTTAGGGTATATATGGGCTTAGGGTTTAGGGCTACGGGGCTTCGGAGGAGATGGTTCAAGTTTCAATTTAAAGGAGCCTCCTGTGGAAACGGGTCCGCGGACACCCTGCCTCGCCTTGTTGTTGGGTACCCATTGGGATGTTCCCCCCTTCTACGAACAGTCCTTAATGGGGATTATCATAGGGGGGTACTATAATCCCTTTCAAGGACAGCTAGAAAAAAGACCCACTTCCATAAAACAGTACTAGAACAGTTTCTCCGTCGCCCTTGCCGGCCCAGTCACCTGGGGATGTGCTTTTTAATTGTGGCAACACGACCGCTTGGGGCACCGCATTGGGAACGTGATTGCATGTGGCGTGCCTGACCCTAAGCCCTAAACCCTAAACCCTAAACCCTAAACCCTAAACCCTAAACCCTAAACCCTAAACCCTAAACCCTAAACCCTAAACCCTAAAAACCCTAAACCCTAATCCCTATAAACCCAAAACCCCAAACCCTGGTGATAACTGTGCTTTGGGTGCCTTGCCGAAACTTTGCCGAGTTGCGCCCGAGAATTGGGGGGGCTCGAGCTCCAAGCCCAGCAGTGCTTCGGCAGTTTGCTGGGGTTTAGGGTTTAGGGTTTAGGGTTCAGGGTTTAGGGTTTAGGGTTCAGGGTTTAGGGTTTAGGGTTTAGGGCTCCAACTCCAAACCCTCAACATTGAACCCCCCTTATTCGCCTCAGGTGTTGCCAGAGGCATCCTTCCATGAGGCTTCAATTGCCACGGGGCTCTCCACAAGCCCTAAACGCTAAGCCCGCAACCCTAAGCCCTGAGCCCTAAACCCGAAGCCCTAAACCCTAAACCCTGAACTCTCGTCTGCCCCTCGGACCCCTGCTCTTTCTGTGACAGATGAGGGTTTGTGGGTTTCGACTTTGACCTGACACTTTAAACCCAAATGACCCCCTAAACCCTAAACCCTGCAGGAGTTTGAGGAAGACTGCAGGCGGATCCAACAGCCCGGTCCTCCGCATCCTGCAATTGGCTGAGGGTCTAGCGCCTCAAGGTTTCAAGGGTCCGGGCTTTCTGCAAAATCCCCAAATCCTAGTATAGGTCTGAAGGGCCCTAAACCCTAAACCCTAAACCCTAAACCCTAAACCCTAAACCCTAAACCCTAAACCCTAAACCCTAAACCCTAAACCCTAAACCCTAAACCCTAAACCCTAAACCCTAAACCCTAAACCTAAACCCTAAACCCTAAACCCTAAACCCTAAACCCTAAACCCTAAACCCTAAACCCTAAACCCTAAACCCTAAACCCTAAATGTAAGGTTGAGGGCTCCGGTGCCGAATCTCTCTTCGAGCAGGGCTTTTTTGGAGTGTCTGTGGGATCAGGGCACCCAAAGACCCGACAACTCCAGGCCTTTAAGGGCTTCAGGCTTTTCGAGCTTTGGAGCTTAAAGCGGCCTTCAACCCAAAGGGCTTGGGACTCTCCTCTATGCCGCAAGAGGCCAAACCTGCCGGTGCCCAGGACCCCGCGCATGAGCCAAAGGTTCTCAACGCCAATCCCGAAATAGGATTTGATCTAGGCTGGGTCTCTAGTAAGCCTATATTTCTCAAAGTGTCGGGTTCCAAAAAGGGCCCGCAGTTTAGATACCCCTCCAAACGAAAACCTGAGCTCGCAATTGCATGAGATATCGACCGAGACGCATCAAGCACTCGTCGTGCCCCAGAGCCCAACAACCTACAAACAAGAGAGCTTTGGGATCCCTAAACCCTAAACCCTAAACCCTAAACCCTAAACCCTAAACCCTAAACCCTAAACCCTAAACCCTGAACCCTGAACCCTGAACCCTAAACCCTATACCGCTTACAACTCGGAAGTCGGGGTTGGAGCGGCAACGTCTTGCTTCTGTTGGAGTCCTTGGCTCGCAGCTCTTGCCAAATTGCCTTCAGTCGCTGAAGAAGCTTGGCTGAACCTAGGGTTTAGGGTTTAGGGTTTAGGGTTTAGGGTTTAGGGTTTAGGGTTTAGGGTTAACGTGGGGCTCACGTTGCCTACTATTTGTGAGGGGGTTGTGCCGCTTTCTTTTTCGGGGTTATCGCCTAGGTTTAAGTAGGTTTAGAGTCTAGGGTGTTAGGGTGGCATTAGGGCATGAGGGTGTAAGGGATTGGGGTGCAGGGCTTTAGGGCTTAGGGAGGCTTGGTTAGCAGAACTTGATTTCCTCCAGCGCCCAAGACTCTGAAGCCAAACAACCTACAGCAGCGCTCCCTACGACGATCTTCCGGCGACCCACACCTAAAACCCTAAACCCTCAACCCTCAACCCTAAACCCTCAACCCTCAACCCTAAACCCTAAACCCTAAACCCTCAACCCTATCAAAACGGCCCAAGTTGCGGTCTGAGCGCCAGAGGATACGGCAGAGAGCGTCGGGCATGAAGGGGCACCGTGATTTTGAGGCATCCGGGCTGCAAGTTTAGGGTTTAGGGTTTCGGGTTTAGGGTTTAGGGTTTTAGGGTTTTAGGGTTTTAGGGTTTAGGGTTTAGGGTTTAGGGTTTGGGGTTTAGGGTTTGGGTTTAGGGTTTAGGGTTTAGGGTTGCTCCCAACTCAGCCTTGTTGCCTGCAGCCCTGAACACTGAACCCCCTGAAGAAGCCTTCTGAACTCTAAGCCCCGAACCCCTAATCACTGAACCCTGCGAGACCCTAATCCCTGAACCCTGGATTAGGTCCATGTTGTGTTGTTTTGTTTAAGCTTGTTGTGGTTCAGGGTTTAGGCTTTGGGGTTGGGGTTTAGGGTTTAGGGTTTAGAGTTGGCTTTGCTGCAGGAGTTTACCGAAGAAGTTTGTCCAACAAAGTTGAACATCTTTCGTTTTGCCCCGAGCCCCACAACCCGCCTAAACCCTAAACCCTAAACCCTAAATCCTAAATCCTAAATCCTAAACCCGCCTATAGTGTAAGTTCTAAGGTCCATGCAATACAAACTCTGGATCCCAAACAGCCCCACATGGGATCCCAAACCCTAAGCCCTAGACCATAAACCCCAAATCCTAAACCCTAAACCCTAAACCGTAAACGCTACACACCCGGGGGCCAAACCACCGGACCCTGAACCCGAAACCCTCAACCCTACACTAAGCCAAGATTCCCCCTTGAGCCCCGAAAAGCTTCAAAGACCTCGACGAAGGCCCAGGTTTAGGGTTTAGGATTTCGGGTCCAGGGTCTTTGTGGCTTTGTGGCGGTGGTGGTTTTAGGGCTTTTAGAGTTCTAGAGTTTTCGGGGGTTGCAAGGTTTAGGGTTTAGGGTTGAGGGTTTGAAGTTTAGAGTTTAGGCTTTTCAGGCGTCGGCCAAGGGTTGCGCTTCATGGGAGTCATGGGTTTGCATGGTTTGGGGTTGAAGGGTCCGAGGTTTAGGGGAGGCTTTACGGCTTAGATATGCGGGAAGGGTTTCATGGCTCGGGGTTTCATGTGTGTAGGGCGTAAGGTTTATGATTTACGTTCAGGCCTGCCTCATTACTGTGTGTGCTGGCAAGCCCTAAACCCTCTCAACCCCTAAACCCTAAACCCTAAACCCTGAACCCTAAACCCTGCTGTGTGCAGTTTGGGGGGTCTAGGCTGAGGTTTACGGTGTGGCATGGTCAGGGCTTAGGGGGAGGTTTAGTGTTTAGGGTTTAGGGTTTAGGGTTCAGGGTGTTTGCGGTGCAAGTCAGCCCACCGCGATGTTCGGATGCTCAACAGTCGGGTACCACAGGGTTTAGGGTTTAGGGTTTAGGGTTTAGACTCTAAATGGGGGCTGACGAAAATGAGGGACCCCAATGTAGTCCCCCAAGTAGTAGGCTTCCCTTAGAATAAGGTACCCCAAGAAGGTACAGCTAATTTCGGGAACCCCCCAATCCTACCCTAAACCCTAAACCCTAAACCCTAAACCCTAAACCCTAAACCCTAAACCCTAAACCCTAAACCCTAAACCCGAAACCCGAAACCCGAAAGCCAAAGCTTTGCAGTAGGTTGCCCCGAAGTTGCATCGAGGTTTCAGAGTCGGGTCCCCTCGCGGCTACTTTTTCTCTCTCAGGTTGGGGTGTATGGTTTAGGGTTTAGGGTTTAGGGTTTAGGGTTGTTGAAGGGTTAAGATTAAGTGCTTCGGGGTTAGGTTTCGGGGTTAAGGGGTTAGGGATTTAAAGCTAGCGTTTGGGCTCGATCAGGTTTTCCTGAAGTACTCGAAGGAGTATCCGCCAATTGTGGAGAGGATCCAGTCCCTGTTGCAGCCAGGCCAGGACCTACGCCCACCCAAAACTCCGAAGCTTCAGCACCCGACACCCTTATCCCAAAACCCTAAACCCTAAACCCCAAACCCTAAGCCCTAGACCCTATGAACCCTGAAGCCCTTGAACCGAACCCAAGACCGATTCCCTGACCCCAACCTCCACACACAAGTTTAAGGTTTAGGGTTTAGGGTTTAGGGTTTAGGGTTTAGGGTTTACTCACACATCCAAGCTTTCAACTGTACGACGCCCCAAGCCCAAGCAAAAAATGACAGTCGTTTCCACGTGGCTTTGTCTATGGCTTCGGGGCTTTTCTAGGGGAGAATACGTAGAGGGCTCCTATTTCGGGTTGTTCTTAGGATTTTTGGGGTCATCTGGGCGCATAAGTTTAAGGTTGCTTCTAGGTTTTCCGCCCCAGGAAGGGCGCCGTTTTAAGGCTTTGGGTTTCGGGTTTGTGGGAGCATTCGCGCTTTAGGCTAGAAGGTGCCCTTGGGTCAGGGTCCCTCAGGACCCACTATTCTAAGCCTAGCCAAGAAAGCAGGGCGCCCCCTTTTGCCCCCCTCGGTTGTGGGGATTCATTAATATGGTCCCTAACCTCCTGTCAAGGATTCTGATGTACGGGCCCTTAATTTTTATAGGGTATATTCCGGGTATATAAGGGGCATACAATGGTACCCTTTTCAGGGCCCACGCTAAGGGACCATGTAACTACCCTTAGAGTGTAAAGGGTCTAGAGACCGAACTTATCGCGTTTGCAGTCGGCAGGCCCGTTGCGGCTGGACACGCCGGCACATGGCCGGAAGTCCATTCTCGACATCGGCCGCTGGGCCTTGTTGGCGCCGGCAGCCCCGACTTCGTCATCCCTGCAGCCCTGGACGTTGGGTGTAGATTTGGTTTAGGGCACACTAAACCCGAGATTTCGGGTTTAGGGTCTAGGGTGTAGGGGTTAAGTTGCTCCATAGTTGTTGTCATCAGGTCTGCTCCTATGGCGATTCTCAATCTAGGGATCAGACCGTCATGGCATTAGCAGTCACTTCGGCACCTGTCTTTCCTCCAAGCCTTTTGACCGGATCTTTTCCACGGCCAGAGCGCAATTGATTATCCTGTGGGGCTCTGCAGCGATAAGCCCTAAGCGTGTTTAAACACTAGCGACCTCAACAAAGCAAACCTTGCAAGCCCCAAGCTGCGCTGACCCCGAAGACCCCCCCCCAAAAAAAAAATAAACTATACCCTAAACCCCTAGACCCCTAAACCTCAAACCCTAAACCCTAAACCCTAGACCCTACACCCTCACTACCGACATGCTCCAAACTCTGCTGAGAGCAGAACCCTACGTGCTGAACCCTAAACTCCACACTCCCACTAACCCCGAAGACCCTAAACCCTCTAAACCCTAAACCCTAAACCGTTACCAAACGCTAAAACCCTGAACCCTCTTAACCACGAAGGTGTCCTTGAAACCAAGGCGCGGGGGATGGACAGCTGCTGCGGCTCCTCGATGAGGTCTTTCTTCCGGAACAGCTCCGAAGTTTTTGTGTTTAGGGTTTGTGGGGTTTTGTGGGGGTTTGTGGGGTTTTGTGGAGTTTTGTGGGGTTTTGGGGGGTTTTGGGGGGTTTTGGGGTTTGGGGTTTTGGGGTTTTGGGGTTTGGGGTTTTGGGGTTTTGGGGTTTGGGGTTTTGGGTTTTGGGGTTTTGGTGTGTTGGGGTGGCGGGTTCAGGCCTTTGCTGCTCGAACGTCGATAGGGGCCCAACAGGCATGTCGAAAGTTGCACCGAGCTCCGTCAGCCCATCATAGAATAATAGTAATTACCTCGAAAACCATCCTTTCAAGGTCAGCTCCTGTGGGTGCATACAGATTTGTACGTATATCTTTCATGCTTTTTGGCCCGTTTGGTCCATTGTATGATACGGGCCCGTGGTTTTTGAGTCCCAAGCAGGGACCGTGATGAAAAACAGCCTTTGGCTTTGGGCGTTTTCGTCAGGTCCATCAAGTCCACGCTTGACATGCCGATAGATGACTTGAAGTCACTTTTAGGTATAGTCCTCGTCGAAGTAGAAGTAGAAGCAGTGGTAGCAGCAGCTGCAGTTGCAGGAGAAGTAAGCGCAGGAGTCGTAGTCGCTGTCGTCGAAACAGTAGGAGCAGCAGTGGTCCTAAACCCTAAACCCTAAACCCCAAACCCCAAACCCTAAACCCTAAACCCTAAACCCTAAACCCTCGAAGGTGAGCCCCCTTCGCCAGTCTGTTGGGCACTACAGCTCCTATGAGACCGACGGCGACGCAGCTTCGCGCCTTCAGAAAGCAGTTGCAGAGCTCAATCTGCAGGACAGCTGGGTTAATGGTTTAGGGTTTAGGGTTCAGGGTTTACGGTTTAGGGTTTAGGGTTTAGGGTTTGGGGTTTAGGGCTGCCAAAGCTTCAGTCTTGGCTAAGCACCCAGATCTTCCAATACCCTTGAACTCAGGAATAGATCCCTAATTTATTCTGAGAATTAGTATTATACCCTTTAATTCAGGAATAGATCCCTAATTTACTGAGTCTTGGTATTATGAACTAGGGCACATTCCTTAATAAAGGGTTTTTTGGAGGATCTGGACAGGACCTTCGGATGTTTTGTATTGTCCTATCTGGGGTTGAAGAGGATCTTATACTAGAATATTCTTGAAGGGCTTCGGGTTTAGGGTTTAGGGTTTTGGGTTTAAAGTTTAGGGCTTAGGGTTTAAAATATTTTCCAGAGGGTTGCAGAAAGTCGACTCACCAAGGGCTGCATTCCCACGCCACCCTTGGTGGTTCATGGGAAGTTAGACGAAGGCTTACAAGTAGGACAGCTGAAGTTATATTTATATCAAATCTAAAATATGAGTATGTGTATATACATATGTACATATACATATGTATTTTTCCAGAAAACTTCGTGGATGTACTTTATAACTTTACTTCCGACTACTCATCGACCCTTCAAGCTTCCGGAGATGGGATCAATAGTAAACCAACTTCAGCTTTGAGCCAGAAAGATGTCTGCTTTCTGTCAGGCTACTGGGGAAAGAACATAGCAACTCAGAAAGCTCTTGCAACTCTAAGCCGTGCAGTGGAGGACGCCACAGTCAACTGCACTGCTTTCTCTACCGGAACCGCCGTGGAGAGAAAGTACGACCTGATTCTCTGGTGCCGTGGCCTTTGAATGTACGACTCTTTCAGTGGATCTGCTGAGACGTAGCAAGATGTGGCGCATGCAGCTAGGCACATGTCGAGTCCATCGGATCTAACTACCTACGGAATCTAGGGGTTTATAACACTCACTTTGGGTTTAAGGCTTAACTACAGGATGAATGACCCCCCCCTCCCCCCAGCCCTCCGCCAGCTGCTAAGGTGCCACAGCCTCTACGGCTTGGACCGGAAAGTTCCCACGCTTCTCCACTCCCTGATGCTCGGACTTTCCCTAAACCCTTATCCCTAAACCCTAAACTCTAAATCCTAAATTCAAACCCGAACCCTAAACCCTAGGGTCTTAGCCCTAGAAAGATCAACATCAGTGTAGCGTTGGCGATAATCCCCCCATCAGGGCCAATCAGTTTAGGAACGTACTCATCCGGGATGCGGCCATGCAGGAGATCTGTTGCTTATTGGTAGCTGCCAATTCCGTGTGTGCATTGTCCTGGAAATTGGCCTTGAGATTATCATCTTGGTAGCCCAGTGGTACCCTTTACCCTTTTTTTGGTTCTGGGTTCCCTTATAAACTAACCAACCCAAAAAAGGTGCCCTTATTATGATATGGTTGCTGGGCTACTAAGCTTTTCATGTCGCCGGACGCGCCCTTTCCCATGCCGGGCGCTAGTGCGGCGATCTGGGCCCTCCAACTACAGTGGCATATATATATATATATATGCATATAATATATATATATATACATAAATATCTAATATAATTGAATATAATATATATATATATATATATATATATATATATATACCAAGGGAATATTCAACAATACTTTTTTCACATAGGCTTCCAAGGGGTGTAGTTATAGGTAAAAGGTCCAGCTACAGCCCGAGGATGTCTTTAGCGCCTGGGGGTTGCTGCGCCGTCGTCCTGCGACGCGAGAAGCTGGAGCCAGCGAAGCGCTGGTTTAAACCCTAAGCCGTTAACCCTAAACCCCTAACCCCCAAACCCTAAACCCTAAACCCTAAGCCCTAAGCCCTAAACCCTAAACCCTAAACCCTACCCATTTAGGGGCTGTAGGGGCTTCGGCTTAGGAAGTCAGTGCGGAAACTTGGTTTGAGGGTGTTTAATTCGGTTTTTGGGTTCCAAGATGTTCCGGGCAGAGGGTTTTGTCAGTCTTTGGTTGGAAGTTTTCATGTGGGAGGGTTGAAAGGTTTTGGGAGTTGAAGGGCGTAAATTGGGATGATCCCCCCTTATATTCACAGTCCTTAATCGGGATGAGAATCGTAAATACTGCAATCTCTATTAAACCCTAAACCCTAAACCCTAAACCCTAAACCCTAAACCCTAAGTATAAGGGGGGAGCATCCCCAGGGTGTAAATGTTGTCGAATCACGTTTAGCTTCCAGTCTGATGATGGTTTGCCTGGCTTCCAGCGTTCAAGACTTTGAGTCGTTGAAACCAACATTGAGGCCAACACAGGAAGCATGTGAAGAAGCCAGCTGTCTTATGCACAGGAGTCAACCCTGACTCAGTCACCTTGTACCGAACCTCGGGGAGACCCTGGTTTAGAGCACGGCCCCCGACCCCCCCCCCCCCCCCCGCCATTCCGCCCCTAAACCTTAAATCCTAAACCCTAAACTCCTAAATTCTAAACCCTAAACCCTAAACCCTAAAGCCTAAACCCTAAACCCTAAACCCTAAACCCTAAACCCTAAACCCTAAACCTTAAACCCTAAACCCCTACACCGCAGGAGCCTCTTCTTCAAGAGCTTCGGCGATGCGGTGTGGACGCCACTGAACTGAATGCTGGTGGGAGGCGTCCATCGCTTTGCCGGACGCCTTGACCAAGCCCCAGGATGCGCTTTGTAAGGGCCCTAGGGTTTTGTCAAGAATTAGCGAAAAAATGGGAAAAACGATCAATTTGCATGGACCTTTGGGGATATAGTGGTTTCCGAATTTGGGGGGGTGCCTTATTGGGGTCTTTATTTCAAGGGAATCCTACTATTTGGAGTCCATTTAAGGGGTCCCGCGGTTGTCGCAACCCCCCTCCCATTTCTAGGATTTTTGGAGTTGAGGGGTTTAGGGTTGGTTGTTTAGAGGGTTGATGAGGGTTTAGGATCCAGAGTTCATCGAAACCCTGTAGATCCCTTTGAGGGATTGGTTGGGTTTTCGGCTGCTATGCGGGCGTGAGCTCTCCGATGAGAGAGAGAGAGAGAGACCCTCAAGCCCGGCAGAAGAAGAACAAGAATAAGAAGAAGAAGGAGAAGATCACGAGGAGAGGGAGAGAGATACTTTTCTGCCGAACCCACTAAAAGCCTGCAACCGCAACAGCCGTTTACTAAAACACAACTCTGCGTTATTGCAACAGAGACCAAGAATCGGACCACATATGTTCGAGAGCAAAGCCAAGTCGCTTTCAAGTCTGTTTTTCGTAGTGGTAGAGCTAGCAGCCTTCTAACCTTTCTGGTGGGCACTACAGCCCATACACCTTGCAACCCACATCCCTCGACTCCTACGTTTCCTGCCTGTCCCATCCGCTCTTTGCCAGTTTGATGCTCTTCAATTTGTCTGTTACATTCTTGCAACTAGAGGTTTTAAGCCCTTTGATCCTAACCCTATGCCATGCCCCGGCACCGAAAGCCCCCAACCCTCGCGGATTGTGATGGCACACTTCAGGGCCTTTGTGTATACTTCACCAAACCCTAGCACCCCCTGTGAGGACATGCAGAGTATTGCCAGGGTTCTACATGGAGCCGACACCGAGAAAGCCGGCCGCTTCGTTGCTGCGTCTGCGGAGATGGGCCATTCCTTCCCTATCCCCACAGGCTCCGTCAACATGTCCGTAAAACCCCTTTCCCCCCTCAGCTCATGCACGCAATATATGCTAAAAGCTCTGTGGCCTTGCCCCTCTCCCTTGGCATACAGACGCCTAAACTTTAAACCCTAAACCCTAAACCCTCAAGCAGCTCCAGATCTCAGCATGAGGAAGGTCTGTCGAAGCCCCGCACCCCTGTACCCATAAAACCCGAAGCCCCAAACCCTAAAACTAAACCCTAAACCCTAAACCCTCCCCAACACCCCACACAACTAGAATACCCTGATCCCTTAACACTAACCGTCGCTGACCCCAAGCGTCCATGTACCCAAATAGGAAATACTTGGGCCTCAAAGTACTTCCTATATAAGGACTCATGGCCCCTTAAGGTAATACCCGTCCCCCCCAAACAAAAAACAAAACACAAATAACAATATTACCGGAAAAGAATATTCTTCCTTATACGGGCAATATAGGGATTATTCCCTTTTATTCGTCTAGGGTTCTTAAGCAAATAGCTGTAAACCCGAAGCCATTCCCCTAAACCCTAAACCCTAAACCCTAAACCCTAAACCCTGAACCCCTAAACGTTGCGCAGGAATGTTGATCCTGAAGACGCCGCTTGCTTGGCCAGGGGAGGAGGCGCAGACGGGGCGCCCTGGAACCTCCCAATGTGGTGGGGGGTTTGGGGGGGTTTGGGGGTTTAGGGGACGGGTTGAAAGACATTTGAGCCCGAAACCCTAAACCCTAGGCCCTGAACCCTAAACCAGTTGTGTCTCGGTTTCGTTGCCTGGGCTGGAATGGACGTGTCAGTTCGGATACCACAAAGGCGGACTTTCAAAGTTGGCTTCGGGCCGAGGCTCCAGAGAGCTATAGGGTTTAGGGTTTAGGGTTTAGGGTTTAGGGTTTAGGGTTTAGGGTTTAGGGTTTAGGGTGGAGGCTGTGTTGGTTGGGTTTAGGGTTGAGGGTTGTGGGGTTTAGATTTCGAGGTCCGGAGAGAACCCTAAACCCTAAACCCTAAACCGTAAACCCTAAACCCTAAACCCTAAACCCTAAACCCTAAACCCTAACCCCTGCTGTGCAGGTGATGTGGACCTCTTCTCCATTGCGCAGTTTGACGGTGGCTTGGGCTCGGATGTACAGGGAAACCGGAAGGATGTAGACCTGAGTCTCCACCCTTTTTTCAACGCGAAAGCTGCGTCAGTTGGCAGCCGTCAGCACCGACACTACTCAAAGTGGTACGTACTGGAAAGAAAAATAAGCAGCCTGAGTCTCCACCCTGAGCCCTGCAACTATCCTCCCTGGGTGTACCAGCCGTGAAGTATAAGGCTTGTTGAGGGTGGTGCTCACATTGTGCGGGTTCTTCTGCGTTCCTAACAGCGAACAAGAAAATGAGGTACTAGATCCCCCTGCGTAGAACAACTCTTTACGAAGAGACCTCATGGGGACCCTACTCTAAAACCTGAACCCTAAAGCCTTAAACCCTAGACCCTTCAAAGAGCTCGTAAGGATACGGGCGTAGCGTACGTCGAATGGTTCCCTGGTTCGCGATGAGATGTGGATCTCCCGGTGAAGCGAAAGCAGCTCGCAGAATCGTTCAATGCTGCAATCCCCTTTCGAACCCGATAACCAAGCACTCAAGACTCTGAATTTTGGGAAGCCTCCTCGTCCCTGCGAGCCACAAGTACCCAGAGAGAACCCGGTAGGGTTTGAGTGTTTGTTTTTTTTCTTTTAGGGTTTAGGGTGAAGGGGAGAACTCAATAAACCCCTAGTGAAGGAGAAATAAGCCCTAATTAAACCCTATAAACCCGTCTAACTCCTTGATTTAGTCACCACGCCCAGGCCTGTGAAGGCCGCCGTGCTGGAGAGGAACATCTTTGGGATTTGTGCCGGCTTCGGCAGAATGTAGGATGCTAGCGCCTCCTTATAGCATTCTGCCGAAACGGCATCAAATGCTACTTGTATGGCTCCTTGCCAAGAGGCATTCCGCAGTCTTCTTTGTGTTTTAATCCTAGCGCGTGGCATACGACGACAAGGACCGTCACAGGACGGCGTGCATGAGCTTGCTGTACGGGTTTAGCTCTGACTCCATCAGTTACCAGCTCCTGAGTAGTTAGTTCCTTTCAAGCCCAAGAGGAAAGCAACGACACACTATTACAGCCAGGAAGAACTTGGACCAGCAAGGTCGAAATCGCGTAGAGCCGCGGTGAGAAGTTTTGCTGAAAATTTTTTACAGTTTACTACCATTTGCTTAAGAACCCCAAAAAAATGTAGAATCATGTTCCCTATATTGTTCTCATAAGGAAGATTTTTTTTTTGGGGGGGGTTCTTCAGGAATTTGTAGTTTGAGATTTCGAGCTGACCAAGCCTGGGCATGCCAGCGGGTGCGCCCAAGGCTGGCTCAACTTTTCAATATCCTCTCCCTAAGCCCTCAGCCCTTAAAACCCTAAACCCTTCACCCTTCACCCTTCAAACCCTAAACCCTAAGCCCTAAACCCTAGAGTGCTCCCAACATGATAAAGTACTTTGGTCTTATTTGTACACTTGCCCTAGGGTTATACACCCTTGGACGGCAAACTTCGTTCATCAGCGAAGGAAGCCTAACCCTAAACTAACCCTAAACCCGATATCTTAGGTTTCTTGGGAACCCAGACCCCGGGTGAGCCCTGAGCGTTGGAGGATGTTTAGGGTTTCTGCCCGAAGGTTTTTTAGGGTTTAGGGTTTAGGGTTTATAGGGTTTAGGGGTATAAGGTATTTGCAAGATCGGATCGTATTTCTTGTTGGCCCATTTTGCCCTTGCGTGGTTTAGGAATTTGGGTTTCCGTTGTAAACGTAACCAGCACCGAAAAGGGTATTGTACCCTTACTATACGAAGGCACATGGACCTCCAGGGAAAGGGCCAAACTAGAATAGAGTTCGGGGTTCAGTTTTTTTTTTCGTCGGTCCTCCTCCAACGCTCACGAGGCATTTACCCGGTAGACTTGAGGACAGAAAGCTTGCGAGGTCACGAGTGCGGCGCGTTCGGTCCGGTTCTCCTGGCATTCTCCTACCGAAGACTCCTAAGCTCTCAAGCCCCAGGGTTTAGGGTTTAGGGTTTAGGGTTTAGGGTTTAGGGTTTAGGGTACACCTGTATCCTCCTGACTTCCCCATGCCCTCCAATCCAAGAACCTCGGCTCGGAATCCTTGCTGTGAACAGTATTTCCCAATAGGGGGTTTCCTCATTACAAGGGAATCCTACTATTTGGGGACTATACTAGGGGGTCCCCTATTTGCGTAACCCCCCCCCCCCTGTTATGAAGACTTCGTATCAAAGATTCCCAGCAGTCCTGGACTAGCACGGCCGGACTTCGGTTTTTGCCGGGGTGCAGGGTGCATGGGCCCTAAATACAAAACCCTAAACCGCTTTAGGGTTTAGGGTTTAGGGTGTAGGGTTTAGAATTTCGGGTTTAGGGTTGAGAAAGGGACACAAAAGAGGGGACCTCAAGCGACAGGGAGAGGGATCTGACCACGCCCCGGAACTCAGTACCCCTTGAAGTCAGGAAGGTTAGGGTTTAGGGTTTAGGGTTTAGGGTTTAGGGTTTAGGGTTTAGGGTTTAGGGTTTAGGGTTTAGGGTTTAGGGTTTAGGGTTTAGGGTTTAGGGTTTAGGGTTTAGGGTTTAGGGTTTAGGGTTTAGGGTTTAGCCCTTGAAGTCAGGAAGGTTAGCATCCTCATTGATTCAAGGCTAAGGAATGCTCCTTAATCAAGGAATCTGCTTGGGTACCCCCAACCCGAAAGCCCTAAAGCCCTAAAGCCCTAAAGCCCTAAAGCCCTAAAGCCCTAAAGCCCTAAAGCCCGAAAGCCCGAAAGCCCTAAAGCCCTAAAGCCCTAAAGCCCTAAAGCCCTAAAGCCCTAAAGCCCTAAAGCCCTAAGCCCAAGAACAGGAAACCCTCAACCCTGGTTCTCAAGGATCGAGCAGAAGTTGCAGGAGAAGATCGACAGTGCGGCTGCTGACTATGAACAGGCCAGACAGGGGCCTAGGACTTGCCGAA